CGGGAGAAGCGAGCGAGAACCGCCCGGGCTGTCCCAAGGCGGGCAGAGCTGTCCCAAAGCGGGATGAGTTGTCCCACGGCCGGGATGTGCAGTGGGCAGAGCTGTCCCAAGGCGGGGTAAGCTGTCCCAAAGCCCGAGGCACGCCCAGCTCACGCTTTCACTGCTCCGCTCTGCAGTTACCGCGATCCGCAGCTGTTGCCCCTGCTAGACCGGAATGGCTGCAGTGATACAATTCCCTAACGGGGACGCTGTTTCAGAAGATTTGGAAAACAAAAATAAGGCTCTTTGTATCGCCAGAGCAGCTGCCCTGGCGTGCTGCTCCCTCGGCAGCCTCGCGGGAAATTCAAGGTAGTTGATTTTGCTGTTAACGCTTTTGGTATCGAACTCCTGTGTGCCCTTTTCCCACCAGCGCTTCCTCACACACTCTGAAATACCTTGAGAGAAAGACAATGGTCCTAAATCATCGGGTGTCACAGATATCTTTTATGGAAAATCCTTTCCTTAGGATTTTTTCTCCTGAGAAGCTGGGAGGCCTCAGGAACAAAATGTAACCCATGGTTATCTGCTGCTGTGGAATGCAACAGGTGCATCTGGGATTGGTCTCATGTGGTTGTTTCTAATTAATGGCCAATCACAGTCAGCTGGCTCAGACTCTCTGTCTGAGACAGAATTCTTTGTTATCATTCCTTTTTATTCTATTCTTAGCCAGCCTTCTGATGAAATCCTTTCTTCTATTCTTTTAGTATAGTTTTAATATAATATGTATAATAAAATAATAAATCAGCCTTCTGAAACATGGAGTCAGATCCTTGTCTCTTCCCTCATCCTCAGACCCCTGTGAACACTGTCACAATCGGGCTTTTAACTAATGATGGTGTCTTTGAGAGGACCCTGCAAATAAAACATTTTCCTGTATTAATGACCCACAAGGGGTAACCATGGATTTGTGACCCCGGCAGCAGCTTGGGTTCCATCTCTCTGTGCCAGCCTGCAAAACTGGGATGTACTGGAGCTGCTGCTCTGCTCTGAAGTGGTGAATCATTCCTCATGATCATCTCTCAGGGGTTTCCAAAAAAATGGAAAAAGTGTCTCAGTGGATAGGACATTGCACAGCTCCATGCTCTGGTGGGAAGGAGCAGGGGCTGGTTCAGCTCCTCTCAGTCCCGGCTCACTCTGCTCAGCCCCACTGGGCTCACACTGCTCCTGCTGCTCTGTTCCTCTCAAAGGAGGTTACATTTTTATTCAGGGTAGTTCTTCCTGATTGCCCTTTAGGAGCAAGTTCATGATGCATCAAAAGAAACTACCTTAAAAATGCATTAAACATAGGTTGTACCGGTTTAATTAGGATAAGTTTAAATGTCTCCTGAAATTTCTTCAAGAAAGTAGCCAGTGAAAATACTGAAGGTCTAAGGTGTGGTAGGGTGTATGAGCAGGAGATGGTGCAGTGCATAAATGGGAAAATACAGCAGTGTTTATGAAAAGCAGCATTAAATGTACACAAGAGATCTATACATCAAAAATTGCTTAGAAAATGAGCATTGCTTTTGTGGAGTGCTACAGATAAATTAAATTTGGATTTGTAACAAATTCTTCTTCCTAGAAGTTTAATTAAAACATGGTAGATATTAACATTCAATTTGCTATTGCACAAATATAAAGAATAATTATTTGGGATGGAAAAAATAGAAATTTATCCAATATTACTTTTCAGTCACAGACTTCATTGATTTTATGAGAGAAAATTCCAAACAGTCCTCACTTAGTTGCTCCTGAACCTTGTTTGCATGTAACTGTCTCCAGAGCTTTCATAAGAGAATGGAAATCTAGACATATGATTCTGCAATTAGCCCTGACTATTAAACAAATTTTAGTGCCCGTTTTTTTTAATACTGTGGCATTAAACTGGTTATTTCCATAAAAACCACCCTGGAAAAAACTGGACTGCTTTGTAACTTTAGAAACTAAAAGTTAGCTTCTGACTGGACAGAGAAAATGGCAAGAATTACAATTTGAATGTACATTTGTGCATGGGTAATCTGTAAAACATTAATTTGTATTTCTCCCCAGTCCTTTTAAATTGAGCCATTTTATATATATAAACACACAGGGTAAGGAAGTGTAATAGAATGTTTTATTCAAAAAAACATGATATATACTGACTCACACTGGACTTCCTTCAAGTCAAGAGGTGAGGATATACCTAAGAATGTTTATAAAATTGTTGCTGAAACTGCCTTTGGGCTTGAGCTTTTGCATAGGCAAAAATACTTCTAGTAAAGTACAGAATCTCTGTGAACTTTTGTATTCATTCTGTTATAAAAATATTTTCCAAATATTTTCATGCATTTCATCACAAAAACACTTTCTGAATATATTTGTTGCTCTTTTATTTTTCTGAGTTATATATGTGCAGAATACAAAAAAAAAAAAATCTGTGTTCATGTCATCTGATCTTTTAAGACACAGTCTTTCCTGAATTATTTTCTGTTTCAGGTAGAGAATGGTCTTTAGAAAAGTTAACTTCCAACCACGGTTTCAAAATTGCCTGTAAAGAAAATCCACCTCAGAAATTGTTGAGCTGCTCTTCAATTCCCAGCACTGCTCAGGCCTGTGCCTTGCTCACAGCCCAGGTTTGTCATTAATAACTCACAAACATAAAATGTTAATAACAGCAAAGGCCCCCTGCCCTGTTCAGCTGCATGGAGTGAGAACAGGGCAAGTAATCCATTGTCTTCTACAGAAGTGAAAGTGCTCAGAAAGGAGCACTATTCTCCTGCTTATGTGTCCAAATATACACTTTCAGTGCCTTCAAAGATACAATTTAACCATCTTAAGTTTAAATTTAATATCAAGATGCTACCTACCAATTCAGATAGGATTTTGAGATAACTTCTTAAAATTAAGAACTCTTTATCTGTTATTGAAATCCACTTTACACTATAAAAATATTCCTTAAGCTGCTCATTTTAAGTATGCCATAGAAATTATCAACTCCAAAACTCCAAAAATTATAAACTCTGTAAGCATACAGAGGAAGAGAAGAAACCCTTCCAAACCATCCAGTTGTGGGGAGAAGAAGAAGGAGGAAATCAGATTTTACAAAATATATGGGCTACCTTATGGTACCAAAAAGTGTTTTTAAAAAGTTTTTAATATTTAGGAGATCTCAAATCCTGAAATGGGGAATCTTCTCTCAAGTTTGAAATGCTTTCATATCATTTGCTGAAATCAAGGAGCACAAATCACAAGCTGTTTTTACAGTCAAACTTGCAAAACGAGCACATAAAAACACCTGGATTGTTTTAGTTCTCAAATTGGAGAGCACAAAGATGACTAGAGTACTAAGAGGTGTCCTAGGAATAGCATGGGTGTGGGTTAAAAAAGACCTCCAAGATCCCCTCAGCACTGCCAAGGCCACCACTAACCCACTTCCCCAAGTGCCACAAACACGTTTGTTATCAAGAGGGTTAGAATTTAACCCTTAAGTGTTTCAAAGGGTAGTTTTCTATGCCTAGGCATTTGTGCAGATTTTTTTGTCTGTTTTGGGTTTTAGTTTTGTTATTAATTCTGGCCAACTTCTCTCTTCCAGAAGCTTACAGGTTGTTTCAGAAAAGGCTGCTAAGCCTGTTCAGCCTAAGGAGAGCTGAGAGGGGCCCTCACCCACCCTGGGATTCTGTGGAAAATAAACCCTGACAGTTTTCCATTTGATTTCTGTTCTGAAATGCTCATCTATTGTGCCCCAAGCTCAAAGAAATGTCCATTTTTATTTCCTCTTCCATCTACATAATCTTGGAACCCTAATTCTATAAATGTAGCATGGAAAGCAGCCATATGGTTCTGCAACTAGTCCTGACTATGAAATAATTTTTAGTGTCCATTTTTCTAATACTGTGGCATTAAACTGGGTGTTTTCATAAGAAACATCTCCAGTTTTGAGAGGCAGATGAGAGAAATCTTAGGAAGATGTACACCAGAATTTCTTCCCTTTTCCCTTTCCTTTCCTTTTTCCTTTCCTTTTTCCTTTCCTTTCCTTTTTCCTTTCCTTTCCTTTTTCCTTTCTCCTTTCCTTTCTCCTTTCCTTTCTCCTTTCCTTTCTCCTTTCCTTTCCTTTCTCCTTTCCTTTCCTTTCTCCTTTCCTTTCTCCTTTCCTTTCTCCTTTCCTTTCCTTTCCTTTCCTTTCCTTTCCTTTCCTTTCCTTTCCTTTCCTTTCCTTTCCTTTCCTTTTTTTCCTTTTTCCTTTCCTTCTCTTGTACAAGGCAGCAGGAAACCCGTGTAACACAGCCTGTAGCTGATCCTCAACACTGTTTCAACCTCTCCACCTCCTCCAACAGAAGTTCAGACTCACCACAGACCAGCTTCTCTACTTGTAACAGAATATTTGTTATTTCTCTAACCAGGAGCTTTACTTTGAGCTGAAGTGCAAATGCAGATTTCCAACAGTGGTGTCCCACAGAGCTGATAGGGTCTATGCAGTCATTTACAGCAGAACTTTGCTTCACAATCTTTCAGGTGGGTCAGGACATGCTGGGGGCAATTCCAGTAAAGCTCCCTGGGCACTCCTGGGACCTTCACAGCCAGCTCAGCTTGGGCACAAACACCCAAGAGCCCAGCCTGGCACTGCTTGGGCACCTGCAGGCCCCTTCTAGAAAAGTGTGGCTTGATATTGCATTTCAAAGCCTTTTCTGAACAGAACGCTTGCTGAATCTTTGCAATGTGATAATGCCCAGCTGCTGAAACCAAAGCTAAGGCACCTTTTAGAGGCTGGTGTTTGTTGTGGTGTGTTCCAGGGGGCTGAGGCAGTATCGTGGCCTCCCACAGACGCCTCATTTGTGATTCTTACTGAAGGTGCACAAATGAAGTGCAATCACAGCATCGTGAGGCGTTTGTGTGTGTTTGCTGGAACTAAAAGGGTGTTTTTGCAGGGTTAATCCCACACTTTGGTTACGATTTCATCAACAACTGTGTTGCTCAGTGCTGGCTGCAGGATGTGACTTTGAGCACAGTGAAAGGGAATCCCGGTGGAACAGACCCGATGTCATCCCCCCGCTCCTGCTGTTTGCGCTCCCCCTGCCCACGGGGGTCCCCGGGATTTGCCGTTCAGCGGGCGGGCCCCTCAAACATCCCGAACCCCCAAACCACCGAAGCTGCTGTTACTGCCCGGT